GAATGGGGAGAGGGGAGGATCCAGAGCATGAGTCTGAAGACAACGACGACGTCGGAGATGATGCTGATGCTGCAGCTGATGCTGCTGATGATGCTGATGATGATGGTGATGGTTGCTGCGGTGGGGATGGTGCTGCTGGCTCTGGCATCGATCACGTGGAGGCCAGGCAGCGGGGCCGTGGAGAGAGCCGGCCGCACGGGGCAGCACCAGGGGCGCTTCGGCCGGGGCACGGGGAGGCATGAGGGTACTGATGCCACCTGGGGCGGGGAGCCCCCACCAGCTTCTGCCGAGGAAGGAGAGGAGGAGGAGGAGGAGGCGGGGGAGAAGGAGGAGGAGGACCAGTGCAAACCTAAGACTCATCAGCGATGTTGGAACCAACCCTCCCTCCGAGGTTCTTCGTCGCTGGCCCCGGCAACGATTCATTCCCACTGAGGGAAGCGTCTCGTTGGAAGACAATTGTTTGAAGATCCTGAAGCGTGCCAAAACACAATTCTCGGGACTGCAGCGCCGCGAATCAACCTGGTTTGTGCGTCTTGACGATGCTGAATCGTGTCAGAGCGCCATTCCTCGGACATCACCACCGTGAATACAGTTCCCTGACAATCCTGCATCGTTCCAAACGCCATCTCTGGTACGTGGGAACCCGTGAAACGTTTGCAAACATTTGAAACGAATGCGCCCGGCGCTAATGCGAGAACCACATTATGAACCTCAATACGTGAAGCTCCGTGCAATTTGACAAGATGTTCGCGGCGCTGAGGCGGGAATCACATTTTGAAAAGGAGCCGCCCTCAACCCGTGACATTCCTGCACATCTTTAAGACGAGTGTGCGCGGCGCTAAGGCGAGAACAACATTTTGGGAAACCACCTGCCCTCCATCTGTGAACATATTGCCACGGAAGTCTCAGGCGAAACGCTCGGGCCGCCCTTCCGACTGGCCTACAGATGGGAGTCGCTGAATCGTTCGCAGGCCCTTGGATGAAGGGTGCATGTGTCCAGTCTGCCAGAGAGGGCCCACTGAGGCCTGACAGTCAGGGCTGTACGCCGACGAACGGCAAGAGGATACTCAGCATTCGAATCCAAGTGATAATGATAATGGTGATGATGATGATGATGATGATGATGATGATGATGATGATGGTGATGGTGATGGTGATGGTGGTGGTGGTGTTCTGCTGATGATCCTGATGATTATGAGGGGAATGATGCGGATGAGGATGATGAGGAGGATGAGGATGATGCTGCTGCTGATGATGATGAGGATGATGATGATGGTGGTGGTGATGGAATTGTTGATGGTGATGGTGGTGATGATGATGCTGATGATGCGGATAATGCTGACGATGATGATGCGGATGAGGAGGATGAGGAGGATAAGGGTGATGCTGCTGCTGATGGTGAGGATGATGATGATGACGATGATGCTGTTGATGATTCTGCTGATAGTCATTAGGATGATGATGATGACGATTATGCTGAAGATGATGATACTATTGATGATGCTGATGATGGTGATGCTGATGAGGATGATTATGGTTATGAAGATGATAGAGATCATGATGATGCTGCCGCTGATGATGATGATGTTGATGATGATGATGATGATGATGATGATGATGATGATGATGATGCAGATTCTGCAGATTATGCTGATGATGCTGCTGCTGATGATTCTGCTGCTGATGATGAGGATGCTGCTGCTGATGCTGATGCTGATGATGCTGCGAATAAGGACAATGATGCTCTGGTTGCTGAAGATGAGGATGATAGCTGTTGGTGGTGATGATGATGAGCAGGAGGAGGAGGAGCATGAGGGGGATACCGATGCTGCTGCTGATGATAATCATGATGTTGGCAATAAAACAGCTGTAACTGATGATGGTGCTGATGATGATGCTGCTGATAATGTTGGTGATTGTGACGATGATGATGACGATGTTGATGACGATGCTGACGATGATTCTGATGATGATGACGACGCTGATGATGATGATGATGATGATGATGATGATGATGATGATGATGATGATGATGATGATGATGATGGCGATGGTGCTGATGATGATGGTGATGGTGATAGTGATGGTGATGGTGGTGATGATGATGGTGACGGTGATGAGGTAGTGGAGAACTAGAAGAAGAGGAGGAAGAGGACGAGGAATGAGGGGAGGGAGGAGAGACAGGGAGGGAGATACTGATGGTGCCATGATGATGTCGTGGTTTCGCCCTGGATCGTTTTCTGACGCTCCCAAGCTTCGAAAATGATGCCCCAGAGGCCAACCACGACACACCAGTCGCCTCGATTTGTCCGAGGCGCCAAATGGCTGAGCCCTCCTCCTCCTCCTCCTCCTTTCTCCTCCTTTCTCCTCCTCCTTTCTCCTCCTCCTTTCTCCTCCTCCTTTCTCCTCCTCCTCCTTTCTCCTCCTCCCGATTCCCGATTCCTGATGGCTGCAAGGGTCGTCGGCCGTAGCCATTGGTCCCCGCCTGCTGGCGCTGCCGCTGCAGGCGGGAAGCACTCTCCAGAAGTGGGCTCCGCCGGCGCCCGTCGGCGGGCCGCGGCAGCGAAGGGGCAGACGAGGCGAGGGGCCGCAAGGGGGAGGCCGAGAGGGGCCCGAGCAGAAGCACGAGGGAGGAAGGCGGGAGGAGGGCAAAGAGGGCCCCGCGTCCAAAGAGCGGGAAGGCCGACGGGGCCCCCCAGGAGGAGGGAGGGGGGAGGGGGGGCAGAGAGGGGGGGCCGAGGACGGCAGGGGGAGGGGGGGGGAGAGTGGGCCTTTCCGTGCGCGGGGTAGGCGCGGCGCGCCGCGGGTCTTCTCATCGTCAACGGCATCATCAACATCATCAGCAGCCTCAGCATCAGCATCAGCATCACCATCACCAGCATCAGCATCGGCATCAGCAGCATCAGCAGCATCATCAGCATCATCAGCATCATCAGCAGCATCAGCAGTATCAGCAGCATCATCTTCGACGTCGTCGTCGTCGTCTTACTCAGGCTCATACTCCTGCACCCTCCCTCCTCCCCCCCTCTCTCCTCCTCCCAAGCCACCCCTGCTCTCCCCCTGCCGAGCCCTCCCCCCAAAAAACCCTCCCCCCATTCTTCCTCCCTCCCCTCCCTCCCGCCCTCCCTCCTCCCTCGGAGGGCCAGGCCGAGGCCCGTGCGATCCCTCTGATGGCCGGGCCGCGGCCCGTGCGATCTGGCAACGGGCTGGCGCCGATGATGATGATGATGATGATGATGATGATGATGATGATGATGATGATGATGATGATGATGATGATGATGATGATGATGATGATGATGATGAAGAAGATGATGATGATGATGATGATGATGATGATGATGATGATGCTGATGATGATGATGATCATGAGGATGATGAGGATGATGATGATGATGATGCTGCTGCGAATGATGATGCTGATGATGATGCTGATGATGATGCTGCTGCGGATGATGATGATGATGATGATGATGATGATGCTCATGCTGATGCTGCTGATGCTGATGATGATGAGGAGGATGAGGATGATTCAGCTGCTGCTGCTGAGGATGATGATGCTGATGACGATGATGATGCTGCTGCTGATGGTGATGATGTTTTGTTTGCTGCTGATGGTGATGATGATGCTGATGATGCTGATGATGCTGATGATGCTGATGGCGATGAGGGGGATGAGGATGATGCAGCTGCTGCTGCTGAGGATGATGATGACGATGATGATGCTGTTGCTGCTGATTGTGATGCGCTTTTTGATGATGTTGATGATGATGCTGCTGATGCTGCTGATTATGATCATGCTGATGCTGATGATGATGATGCTGCTGCTGATGAGGATGATGATGCGGATGCGGATGCTGCTGCTGATGCTGCTGATGTTGATGATGAATGTGATGATGATGCTTAGGTTGACGATGCTATGGATAATGCTTATGGTGGTGGTGGTGGTGGTGGTGGTGGTGATGAGGATGATGATGGTGATGGGGATGGTGACGATTATGATGATGCTGCTGATGATGATGTTTCTGATGATGCTGAGGATGACGATGCTGATGCTGCTGATGATGGTTCTGCTGCTGATTATGATGCTGATCATGATGATGCTGCTGCTACGGATGATGATGCTAATGATGCTGATGATGCTGATGATGATGACGATGCTGCTGCTGTTGATGATGGTGTTGATGATGACGATGATGAGGATGACGCTGATGAGTCTGACATTGCTGCTGCTTCTGCTGGTGATGAAGATGGTGATGCTGCTGCTGCTGCTGCTGCTGATGATGCTCCTGATGGTGGCGATGCAGATTATGAGGATGAGGAGGAGGGTAAGGATGAGGATGATGAGGAGGGGACCAAGAAAGCGTGACTGGCTTGGGGAGGAGGAGGAACAGCAGGATGAGGACGAGGAGAAGGAGGATAAGCAGGAGGAGGAGCAAGAGGAGCAGCGCACCAGCAGCCGTACCAGCAGCCGCAGCAGCAGCCGCAGCAGCAGCAGCAGCAACAGGAGGAGGAGGGCGACGACGACGAGGAGTGCGGCCCCCCACGTGCGCACGACCCCGCGAAAGATGGAGGGCTTCTCCGAAAGGGCTTAGGCGATCCGTCCTCCTCCTCCTCCTCCTCCTCCTCCTCCTCCTCCTCCTCCCTACCCCTCCTCTCTCCCCCTTCTCCTCCTCCTCTCTCCTCCTCCTCCTCCTCCTCCTCCCTCCTCCTCCTTCATCTCCTCCTCCTCCCCCCTCCTCCTCCCCTCCCTCCTCCTCCTTCATCTCCTCCTCCTCCTCCTCCTCCTCCTCCGCCCTCCTTCTCCTCTCCCTCTCCGCTCCTCCTCCTCCTCCCCCCCTCCTCCTCCTCCTCCTCCTCCTCCTCCTCCTCCTCCTCCTCCTCCTCCTCCTCCTCCTCCTCCTCCTCCTCCTCCTCCTCCTCCTCCTCCTCCTCCTCCTCCTCCTCCTCCTCCTCCTCGGGTCGCCTACGGCCCCGGGGGAAACCGTGCAGCGAAAGAGGTGCGAGAGGCAGGCCTTCGACGAGCTGACCGCCCGCTTCTACACGGCGGAGGCGTGCTTGGCCCTCGAGCACCTGCACAGCCACGGATGGGGGCGGGGCGGAGGAGGTCGTCGCCGCCGCCGTGCTGTCACGACGCTGGAAGTCGGCCACGCGCACAAGGGTGGGGTGGGGTCCTTCTCCTCCTACCTCCTCCTCCTCCTCCTCCTCCTACCTCCTCCTCCTCCCATCCTCCCTCCGCCTCCTCCTCCTCCCTCCTCTCCTCCTCGTCCTCGCCTCCTCCTCCTCCCTCCTCCTCCTCCTCCTCTTCTTCCTCCTCCTCCGCCTCTTCCTCCTCCCTCCCTCCCTCCCTCCCTCCCTCCCTCCCTCCCTCCCTCCTCCCTCCTCCCTCCCCTCCCTCTCCTCCTCCCTCCTCCCTCCTCCCCTCCCTCCTCCCCCTCCACCTCCTCCTCATCCTTCTCCTCCCCCTCCTCCTCTTCCTCCTCCTCTTCTTCCTCCTCCACCTCCTCCTCCTCGGGTCGCCTACGGCCCCGGATTAAACCGTCCACGTGAGGGGAGGGGGGAATGCTTCTCGGAAGCACCCCTGCTTCTCAGAAGGCGCGGGCCTTGTCTCTAGATATTAGGGCCGGCGCCTTCTAAGAGGCAGTCTCCTTCTAGGAAGCCTTCCCCGCTCCAGCTTCTCCTTGTTCGCGCCGCCAAGGAATGAGGTCCACTTCAGGCTCAGGATGGCTCTGATTTTCGGGCCGTTACTTAGATCTAGATCGGGGATGCTATTATGGCATGAGCTCGCCGTAGCCAGAAAAGCCCTTTCGTTCCTTACTTATTCTCTGGCTGACGCCACATTGCCGACCCCTCAGGGCCCGTGTATGCCGAGATCCTACTTGAGATTCATGTGTTGCTATTATTCTCTTCTTCCTCCTCTTTCCTCTCCTCCTCCTTCTCCTCCTCTCGCCTCCCTCCTTCTGCGCTCCCTCCTCTCCGCCCTCCGACTCCTCCGATTAACCATCTATCATTTTTCGTCTTGCCCGCTGGCCGTGGCGTCCAGCATTTTCGTGTGTTCTCCCTTCGGCCTTCGATCGTCAATCGTCGCTCCTGCGACGACGGCCGCCCAGGAGGCAGGCATCCGGGGCCCCGAGAGCGTGAAGAACTGGTCCTTCGATGCGCGCGCGAGGGGCCTCGTGCCTGTCGCCCAGCTCCCTCTCTCTCGGAGGCGGCTCGAGGCCGCTCGGGGGCCGTTGGGGAACCTCCGAGGGGGCCCGTTCGGGCCTTTCGGGGGCCTCTCGAGGCCCTTCTGGGCCGTCTGAGGTGCCTCTTGAGCCGTCCTGGGCCCCTCTTGGACTATCTTGGGCCCCTCTCGGGCCGTCCGGGGGCCCATTTGAGGCTGTCTTGGGCCCCATTTGTGGGTCCTCTTGGGCTGTCTTGGGCGCCTCTTGGGCCGTCCAGGGGTGGACCCGTTTTGGGGCCCTCTTGGAGGCTTGTTGGGCCGTCTCGGGACGATCTCGGAGACATCTGAGGCCGTCTTGGGCGAGTCGAACACCCCAAACACGGATATGCTGAACAGTGCAGTCTTCCGCAGGAGATGGGGCAAGTTGTGCTTGTCCAGGCCTTCGCCAGGGCAGCCCACGTGCGCTTTGAAAACGTCGTGGGGGGTTCCAGAGCTGTTCCGGGAGCACGGTGGGCCTTCTTGTGGCCACCTGGGGCCACGCGGAGAACACGGCGAGGCGACTCGGAGGCCGCGGAAGCCACATTGCGGCCGTCGGAGCCCGTCCGGGAGCAGAGCCGGGGCCGTCCGCGTCGCGCCTGCACCGCTGGCACCGCCCGGACTTTTCCTCCTCCCCCCCCTCCAAACTGGCCGGAGCGGGTTCCCCCAGGGAGGGGTTTGGGGAGGGGCAGCATCTCACACGCTGACAGACCCCAAGGGGATCGGCAGCTTCAGCGTTCCTTGTGGTAGCACTTGGCTGTAGCTTCAGAGAGGGGAACACGTACCATTCCGCTGCCCTTGCCTCGTCTTGCGCCATCTTGGACGCTCTGACCGCTCGCGACCGCCCCCGTCCACGTCTAGGGGAGGGGTTAGGGGGAGGGGTCAAGCTACCCACCCGCCCGCAAGCCGTCTAGCTCACTCCCACCCGCCCTCCCAACACATAAGTGACACCCGAGCCTGAGCATCTTCAGCGGTCGTCTTTGGATCTCAGCTGC